TGGCATAAGAAGGGTGCAGACCCTCCTAAAAAATTTAAAGCCACTCCATCCGCCGGAAAAATTATGACCACAGTGTTTTGGGATACAAGAGGAATTTTATTGATTGAGTATACGAAAAATGGTGAAACCATCAATGCAGCATCTTACACTACCACTTTACATAATTTAAAGGAAGCAATTAAAGAAAAAAGACGGGGAAAACGGGCTGCCCACCGATTGCTGCTTCTTCGTGACAACGGTTCGGGTTTACACAGCGCGTGTTTCTAAGACCGCTATACGAGATTGTGGTTTCGAAGAAATCAATCACCCATCGTATAGCCCAGACCTGGCCCTACTGATTTACTTTTGTTCCCGAATTTGAGAAGGACCTTTGATGAAAATAATTCTCTGATGATAAAGAGCTCAAGGCGATAATAAATGTTCATTTTTCAGACAAGGAGGAAAGATATTTTTTTGAGGGCAGTGAAAAATTAATTTAAAGAAATAAGTGTATTGAGGTTGTGGGGAATTATGTATGTTGAAAAATAAAATCATATTGGACTTTAAGTCGAGTTGAGTTTCATTGTGATACCAAGAATACATTGAACGTCCCTTGTATGTGGTGAATTTCGTAAAGTGCTTACCAATCGAGATTCACCACCCAGTATTTAAAGCTTTTACTTTTTTAAATTCGCCATCGACGATGGTACTGTAGAGCTAGTGACACATTACAATGGTTGCAGTAGCACTAGGCTTCTATTCCTTAACCAAAAGCTTGAACTCTGTCAAGGATAACTAGGGATTGGAAAATTCTGCGCGTTTAAACTTAGAGCAGTGTACACAAGTAAAAATGTTACTTTATTAAACTAAGTAAGTGTCATTTGATAGCCTTTAGAATTTTTTACGGTAAAACCATGTCACCTTTGTAGAGCTTCTGTTGCTCCTGTACGAACAATTTAATCAAATGACTTGGTAACACTCAAGAAGTCTGCACGTATTGGCAGTTACAAATTCGAGCAATTTGTTTATCTAAGATCCATCATAAGAACCACCAATAATGCCAGTCTGGATATGAAGCGAAGGATTACTTTGGTCACTAGGTTCTACTTTGGTCTCAGCAGGCAATCAAAAAGTAGAGCCCTCTTGATTTTTCGAATAACAAATAAGCCGAATTTTTCGACCGAACAAACAGATTTGAGTTTTTCGAAGTTTTTAAGGTTTTTACCAGTTCAAGGGAAACCCCTAAATAGTTTCTAAATTATATTGCAGGTTATTTGAGCATGAAAAGGATAATAACAGAACAACAAGATCATATATGATTTTAATAAATGAATGTTTGGCGCTGAAACATTTTCTACGTGTTTGGCCGAACTTCTCCTCCGATTCGTGCCCTGCTTTCTTAATGTTGTGACACAAATGGGGATATGTACTCTATTACTCCACCTCCGAAGAATCTTTTTTATATATTGATCTTGCAGGGACCAGAAATTAATCATGGACCTCGCGAGTACTGACACTCCTTCCCCTCCACCTCTAAGCGCTCGGCTACGGCGGCAAGAGCACTACTCAAAACTGAAAAAGTCAGCAAAAGATGCAAGAATGCATTGAAAAACATTAAATAAGACCAAACGTGAATTCTTCACTGATTTTTATTTGTTTCTAAATAAAAGCTATATTTACTGTTAATAGTTTTACCGTAATTTTTTGGTCATGACTTCATACCAATCTAGGCTTTTATGAAGCCTATGTAAAGTAAAACCGGTTTATCCGGTTTTTTCTTATTTTCAAAATTTGGAACCGGTTTTTTTCAAATTGAAATTTTTCGATAACTCGTAACGGTTTTTGAAAGGAGAAAGCCCTACTATATACTGCCTCGGGTGTAGTTCAATGGCATGCACCTCGTAGACAGATTTTACTTGACCAATGCTAATGAAAAGGAACATCTTCAAATGTATAACATAGGCCAATGTTATATCTTGGAGACATCAGTATACAAAATGAAGCTTTCTTTCCGCGTTTTTTCTCGTTCGTTGTCCCTCAATGAGCTAATGAGCAGTCCTTCCTGTTATTCTATAGCCCTGGGAGTGGAAGCGCGTAGAAGTTCATTACAATGGAACTGAAAGCTGGCAGAGTAGTATTTGAAACTACTTACGTATTCAAAGCAATTCTTATGGGATGTGGATGTTATTTAGAAATATGTATCCATCTGACAGTGGTAACATTTTCAGACTCATCCAAACAACAGACAAAGTTGAGTTATTATGTTTTGCTATGTAACCCTTCATATGTGCTAGTGCGAATTATTTTTTGTTTGTTTCGTGAAAAAAAATAACAAAAAACTAAACACTCATAACAATACTTGAAAGCAGTTTGCGACGTTGCATGCGAAAGGATGTCAAGTGATTTTAACGCATTTTCTGCATCATTGCATCCATACATACATACATACATATGTACGTGTGTGTACATATCACTTCACAGCGACTATTGAAAATAAGTCAAGTTGCGAAAAAATAAACATCTATTGCAGCCACCGTAACACAATAACTGGCAGCTGCAGCATTGGCTATGGCTAATCGTCTTCTGTGTGTACACATGTACATATTTACATACATACAATATGTTTGATTTGTCCGCGACTAAATACCAATAGACATGGTGCAATAATAAATGCAGCTGCAGATTTAATAGCTTAAAAGAGAAGTCTAAAAATTGTTTACTAATTGTTTTCTGCGTTTATTATTTTTGTTTTCTGCATGGCACTTAAGCCGTGAATGGTGAAACAAAAGAATCGCGTAAGCACGCTACGAGGTGCTAAATAGTGTCTGAACAAAAAACTCTTACGCAATTACAGCTTATAAGATTGCATTGAAAAATGGTTTTGTTGTATGGCTTTCATTAAATATACGCAAGGCCGTATTTAGGAGGGGGGCGTGTTGTAGGTGTTCTGATCTTCTATTGAAAAATTTTTACAAATTATTTTTCGTGATTGGGATAAAGAAAAATGTTTGGGTATTCAAACAATTGGGAAACGATTTGCACCAAATTTCGGCGCATAACCAATCGTGTGACACTGCCTTTAATCTTGTATTTATACGGATGTTGTTAAAGAATGTACTATAAAAAACTAACCAAAATTAAATAACAACAAAAATAATATTTTAAAACTTGTCAAAATTTGGTGCGGCTATAATTTTTTCGACTGCTGTACATAAGTTACTCGGTCGTGCTATCATAGTAGCACAATGCCACTAATATTTGACTTACAAACAAAATACGGGCAGGAATTTTTTCAAAATTTCAACCCTGTTTGTGTGAAATATTTTATTTTATCAGTATTTTCCTTTTAATCAATCTATGCTGAAACAAAAGCGAAAATAAAAAAATATTTTGTCAGAATTTTGGCAAATTCCAAATTGATTTTAGGCCCATGGTTTGTTCGGGAAGATTTCTTAGCATAACTTATGGAATCCTTCTTTGCTATACGCTCATAGTCGAAAAAATTTCCCATAAAAATTGACCCGCCCTAGTATATATGCATATTTTTGAAGAGACGCAAGAACGTTATAAAGAAAGAAAGGAGCTAATAAATTGCCTTTGGCCTCTTCAAGGCATAACTGCTTGGTTACCGACGTTTGATAATATAATAAAAATAAAGCCATTTTAAATTACAAATTTACTTACTCGTCGCAAAATTTTCAGAACAGTTCCCATAAAGAGTTGGAACTTTTATATAAAATTTTTTTACGATCTTCTACAGTCAATGCAAGCTCAGTTGAAGATAATATAAAATATTATTGGGTGAAAATTAAGAATCTAAAATTTTTTGTTTCACTTAAAAAAATTCTACTGTTCAAACGCCCCTCCCTTCTAAAATTCCAAGTATTTCAGAAGTTACAGAACTTAGAAGTGGGAGTGGAAGTTTTTTTCTTTGGCGCTTTTTCTCGAAACGACTTTTTTTCAAACTCTAATATCTGCGTCAAAAAAAGAATTTATTTTCTAACCTATTTTTGCTACCGTCAGGGTGGTGCAACCCCTTAAAGCAATCAGATACGTATTTCTAAGTTAAACTGAATTGTAGAGTTATATTACTAATTTTTGTGTCGTTTGACAATGTAGTTACATAACATACCTTACATGTGTACTTACTATGTATGGATGTACAAACATGCATACATTTGAACACGGTGTAAGTTAAACAAGTCCACAACGGCCACAAAAAAAAAATACCTACTAACAAGCGCTCCCTTGCAGATAGTAATTGCAGCAGCGCTCCCAGCAGTGACAACACGTTTTGGCCTTGCATGTGCGGTGAAGGAGGATGCACCACACCACAATGTAGCATCCACTTCGTGACTTATTCACCTTTAATTTCTTGCTTTTGCCTTCATTCAAACGGCAACTTCAGTTGATTCAGCATTTTTTCGTGGTTGCTACTTCACTCGTAATACTGTTGCATGCAATGAAAAGAAAATGCTTGCAGCATATTGTATGCACAAATAAAAAATAATCATTGGAAACATCTCTAGACTACAAATAATAATAATAGAAAAAAATTTGTTAAAAAAATACAAAAAATTATCTTTGGCCCTTTGACAGCAAGCGTTCAACATGAAAATGTCAAATGCTCCTCAGCGCATCAAAATTGAAGAGCTGCATACATTTTATTATGATTTATTAGGTATTGCAACGCGCTGCAAACTTTTGATCAGCAAGTCATTGCATGGTAAAGTACTACGTGCTTCCTAAACAGCTATTTTATTTTTATAGAGCTTTAATATGAAGTTATATCGTTGCTGAAATGCAGAAATTCCCTAACTGAAATTTTTAATTTTTTACAAGAGAAACAAAAAACCCCATATCCCATACAAATATACAGTTCTGTGCGTAGGGCTTCTTCAAAACAAATCGTTGGTTTTTAAGTTACGGATCTAAAGTTTTTAAGTAAGACGTGTTTTAGTATGGCTATGGTACTTAAAAAAGCAATAAACTGTATTATACATACATATGTATATACTTACACCAATGTGTTGGCCTTCCACGAAGAGTTGAGGTACTTTTATCGCTTCCGAGTGCATGCGCTCCTTTATCTCCTGCTGATATTCGATGCTCATGAAGACGTCGCGTTCCTCGAATTTCACAAGCAGCGTACGCAATATCTGTTTCATATTCGCACATTTGGCATAAGTGTCACGTATGATGCCCATACTTGTTGTATAGAGTACCACTTTTCCCGCATCCTTCTCTTTGAAATTCTGGAAGAAAAGAAAAATGCATATAAAAAATTAGTATGAAAAGAATATGGAAAGAACTTCATCGTATGTATGTACATAAATTGCAATTTCAAAAATAAAAAATATTTACTAAATGCTAAAATTGTGAAGATATAATTCTTATGAAAATACGAGATCTTTTGACATCAGGACATTTAATAAGTCGAAAGGTTATGTACTCTTTTGCCAGACCTGAGGAATAAAGTCACACTTCTCCACGTTAAGCCTTACTTTGTGCTTTTTGCTATCCGACCGCTTTCGCATGAACGATACAAAAACTCCATTTTATTGAAAATACATCCACAACTACTAAGGAAGCAACAATTCAATAAGTGGCATACTACCAGTCGACCTTCAGAAGCTATTGGACATAATTAATCTAAAATAAAAACCAATTTAACTATGGACGCAGGTAAAAGTTGTATTAATTCTTAAAGTAAAGAAAAGAGTAAATCTTCAGAAATCAAGCGCAACGATTCAAACAGGTAAGCCTCTCTTCTTTTCTACAAGAGTCACTATTGAACACATACTTATAGGGCAATAGGTAGCCCGAAGCGCTCGGCTGCCCAAGATACACTCAACAAATCATTTCGCCGATCCAAGAACTTGGCGTTTGCGAGGAAGCTCTTCAAAGATCGGACTATAAATGCAGAGCTGAGGGACACCTTTGTCACAAATGTTATCTATCTCCTGTACTATAGATAAAAATTCACAGCTTGCTGAAAGAAATAGAAATGAAGAACGGTAGAGTGGTAGCCTGCGCCGTTGACTTTTGCTTGTCCTATGTGGGGGCAGCCGTTGCGGTTTGCGAATAAATTATACAAAATCTAAACTTGTAAAATGGTGTAACGAGCACTTATTGAGCTAAAAATCTAGGCTCAATTCCGATCGATGCGATTTTGCCGCTTAAAACTTGCACTTTATCATACTAAAATTTAATGGGCTACCCAACTGCATACTCAAAAAAAATTTAGAAAACCAGATTAAAATGTTTAAATTTTAATGAAAATTTTTTAAGCTCTGTATAAAGTTTGAAAGCTTAATTTATATGGTTTTGGTTAAACCATGAACCATATTTTTATGAAAAATTATAAATTTTTCTAAGCTCTGTATAAAGTGTGAAAGCTTAATTTTTATGGTTTTGGTTAAACCATGAACCATATTTTTATGAAAAAATTTTAACTTTCAAAGCCTTGCAAATATGTAACAAAAACTACCGTGTACTCATTTCTGCTCCCCACTGTACATTTTCATAGAACAACCGAGCGGCTACGATGCAAGCAACGCCGATGAACTTATGTGTTATTACACAACAAGAAAACCACTTGGTAATCAACAAAAAAAAAAAAAAAAAGAATTGGATAAACTCCTAATAGCGATTTTTATTTGGGTCAGCCAGATATTCAAAGATATAGCTACCAAGACCTTTTGCTAACGGTTCAGGTAATGGCAGATTTAGTGTTCGATGGCTTCTTCTTCTGTATTCTGAGCCGTTTATTTTGAAAGTGGCATAAGTCACTTCATACCTCTTGAACTTAAATGACCGGTTACTTGTAGCCAAATGCATGTGCAAATCTTTCTATCGCCCTAAACTAATGAACTAACCTTTACATATATGTACAAGAGGCGTGAAGTGACTTATTCCACTTTCCAAATAAACGGCTCATATGTAGGTTGCGCCCCTTTTAACTGCGTGAATCCCAATCAGATAATGTCCGGTAAGAACTTCAGTCATTATGCGGATGTCTTGCCTCCTTAGGTTAAGAAGAGACTTCTTGTTTTGCGCCTTCATGACTGCCAAACGCGTTTTGCAAATATGACAAATTAATATAATTTTTCATTTAGTAGTCACGGTAGTGTAGAACAATTTTTAATCCCACATGAAAACCACCCACAATATTGTTGCAGATTATTAAAAGTCAAAAGTGTTTCAGTAACCATCTCGGATCAAAATTAAAATCGTATCTTGGTAACTTTTCGAGAAAACTGTGATTTTATATAATTCATTTATAATATATATATTAGAGTGACCAGAAAAAATTTAAAGTGCTTCTTTTTTGACCGTTTTGACTTTTTAGCTTCCATTATGGCAAAAAACTATACTCTGAAAATTTGGTACAAAAATATTAACATTTAGAGGCTTCGCGTGGACGTTTTGTGCCTCCGCCTCAAGTGGTTAAAATTACTCTTCCTTCAATCCGTGCGCACACGAAACTGGAGTCTCTTAAGGTCTTACAGTTTTCAAGGTCGCTGAATACGTTGGGCGAGACCGTTTTTCGACCTGATCCTTACATTTGGAGATAATACAAAAAAGTGTAAAAAACGAGAAAAACACCGAAAATCGCGCTTTAAAAGCTGATTATTTCTTAGAAAAATTTTTGAAACTTTTTATCATAGTTAATTTTATAACCACATCCCTGGCAAACAAAATGACGCGCCGCAGATAATATTGCGTTCGTTATTTGTCGAGATATCGGTAAATTACTGTACCTGGATGTCAACTGAAAGCTAGTAATTATTAAAAAAAAAAAGCTTTAAAGTGTTTAGCCAGTGTTCATCCTACAAAAAAAAAATCATGATCATGAATTTAGTTTTCCTAGCATAATTAAATATTTATGCAAACAAATTTGGGCAATTTCATTGATTTTTATTTTTTTAACTTAATTAAAAAATTTTTCTACGCCAATAAGGCTTGCAAAAAATGTGCATGCAGCCAAGGCCAATCATACGAACCGAATCAACGCACCTGCATCTAAAAATACAGAAACTACCAACTAAGCAAATTCAGTTTTTCACGTTTCCATTACTAATGGACTTTGTGTTTTCGGATGTGCTTGCAAGCTGCGCTTTTGCACAGCTTCATTTACAAATATTTTTAATTAAATTTTCAAATACTCTGCTCAGTGGTATGCGTTCGCCTTATTGCAACAAGTATGCGCCACAATGACATGCTGCTTTTGAAATTTGCTGCAAGCGGTGCCAACGATGGCTGTTCCTAGTGCGTGCTCTCAGTAAATTGGCTGCTAACATGTTTTGTCTATGTTTTTTTTTTTTTTTTGTTTTTATCTGTCTATCAATTTATTTTAACCTGTGTGCACTTCCATTGCCTTTAGATGGTTTGCAATTTCCATGTGTGACAGTTGTTGCTGCGCTGAAGCCCGCAAAACTTTTTTAGTAGTTAGTGGCAGAGTTGCACGATCTGGCTGGAAACGCATCTTTGTGCATAGCTTGCAGCAATCTGAGCTACTTATAATCGTACACATTTTCGAACGTGTCTGTTCCCAGTGGTAAAAGTAGTACATAATGCGTTACGTGCGTGATAAATAATGTAATGATTTTCTTAGGAGTTTTAGATTCAATTACTGATTAATATTTCATCAGCATTCTACTGTATCCAAAAAGCCCCAACAAATTCATATTCAATCGCATTACTAGGTAATGCAAAATTGAATATCCCACTTTTCTTAGGACACCGGCGCGCGTGGGGAAAAAATGCATTTTCGAATGTGAAAATGGCTGTTTTACTGATTAGTTTTTCGAATACCATACATTGCATTGCATTTTCCCACTGGGATGCTTTATTCACACACAGAACAGGCATACGCATACATACACACATACCCAGTTTCTAGTTGATCCTGTTTGTATGTTACTTTTATTTTATTGCCATCTGCCGAATGCCTTTGTACCGAAGAGTTCACATACCGGTTGCGAATCAAGATCATGGCTGCCATGAATTTACTGGTTACGAAAACACATGAACTCCTGCTAACTGACTGCTAATGTTATTTTCATTTATTTGTGGTGTAAAATATGATTTTAGTTTTCATGAAAAGCTTACTCAAGGTTTTATTTTTAATGCAGCGAGCTCACTTCACTTTGTGGTTGGCGAACATAAATCAAAGTTTTTGTGCTAGTTTCTTTCATATGCGGTTTGATTTCATTTTGAGTTTTCATAGAGAAAATGCCGCATAGAAATATTTTTGCAATTTTGTTTATCAGTCGCAAGGAATGCCATTTATGTAGCTATTGTGGGTCAAGTGTGCAAATTATTTTTTGTGGTTCGTTAACATTTTTGTTTGGCAGGCAAAAATGCATACCAAAAAAAAGCTGGATCAAGATGTGATTGACAAAAAACGAAGGTGTGAAAGTATAGATGCAAGATTAAAATTAAGTTGGACTTGCATTTGTATGAACACCTTACTAAAAGGAAAGAAAAATTCATCCATACACACAGGAAACCACAATGAAAAAGAAGTTAACTCGCCCTTAGGCGATTTAATTGATACTGCGTGCAGCTATAAAAGTACTTTTGAGTAGTCAGAATCATTATTTTTAAGAAGTGGGTACTACCAATCAACACAGCTTGAGGTGAGAGCACTTATGCAGCTTCTATGGAAACAATTGGTGCAAGAGCCTCTTGAGAAACAGGTCCATGCAACATTGCTTAAAATGTTTTCAACACTCTGAAATTCTCAAAGTCTTGATAACAATTTTTTCTTAACTTTTAGCCTCAAACAATTTAACAATAAGTAAAATGAGATATTAAATATGCGGAAATTCCATAATAATCTTATTTATTTTTAAGGGGTTGTTGTTGGTATTAACTTTGAGTAAATTATCATCGTTATATCTCGAATTATCGAAGTTTCCACATTTCGGACCGTTAACCGTTATATAAAAAGTGGGCTTAATTTTATTCCGTTTTCAAAAATTGACTACATACATACTGCGTTTTTGTGCCCAGTACAATAATCATACCGAGTTTGGTACAAATTGTTAGAAAGGCTATCGAGGTACACATTTGTGGTCATAAGTGGGCAGCGTCACGCCCATTTTCGAACAATTTGTTGTAATCGTATTTCTGGCTAAAGAATTAATTTTGAGTCAATTTGCTTTAGAAGTAACTGATTTATCGCAGATTTCATATATCTCTAAACTACCGTTATATTATAACTGCGCTAAGTTTGGTAGAAATTGGTAGAACGATTGCCGAGATATATACTTACTCCATGCAAGATTTACACCTCAATATTTTTTTTTTTTGTTAAAGGGAGACACCTTTTTTTTATTTCATCATGATATTCGAGGCATGCGCTGCCAGTGCTACTCTATGTACATACATACGCATACATGCATAAGTGGTTGGGGCTACGCTTATTTTCCAAATATTTATAAGAATATATTTATGTCGCTAGTCGTTTCACTTCTGTGACGCAAATTCAAAATGTCAAGCAAAACTTAGTACTTTTCCACCTGGGGCCTATTTCATAAAGCGAAAGTGATAATTTTGTAACGATAGGCATTTTCCATGTTATCGGTGACAATTCGACAGTTTGGTGGGTGTTTTGTTTCATAAACACAATTATCACCACCTCTTAGATTCCGTGAGAAATTCCATTGAAAAACTGACCAATTGTCATTGTTGGGGTTTAAAATTGTCATTGACAAAATTGTCGCTAGCCATATGAAATTTATGTGTATATCATAAGTAATAATTGTATTTGCATTATTTTAGTTTTAAGAAATGTTTAAATTATTGAAAAGTAATGAATTGCAATCCTGTGAAAGTTTTCCGACGGAGCCTTTCGGTTTTTTATCGCCATTGTAGCGACAATTTTGTCAGAGTGACAATTGTCAGCACAATTGTCGACAATATTACCATATTATCATTGTCGTTTTCCAAAAATTTTCACAGTTGCTTACAAACGTATATGAAACAAGAAAAATGTGGCCAACAATTCTGGTAGTGAAATTTTATAGAAAAATGGACAATTGTCGCACCTGTCACTTTTATGAAATATGCCCCTGTTTTTTTCATCGCAGAGGAGGTCTTTGCTCTGTTACAAGGATCTTGATCCGGGTTATATTATCGCCGTGGTTGTTATTAAATTAGTGTTCATTGGTCTTGGAACTTTCAGTATGTCGGCATTTTTTCTTATCGGCCAGCATTCCAAACACTTTACACTCACAACCCGCATATGTCGGTTCCAGCGTATCTTGGCAACACCGAGTCGATGGTTTGGCGCTTTGAGTTTACAACTTGATCAATTTGGTTTCTCACTTGCTCATCCGGTTATAGCCACCTTGCTTGATGCAACTTCTTATGCTGGAGTCTATGTAGTGCTGCGTACTACCGTGTGCCAGATCCCAGCGAAGTCGATCACCTCAGTGCGTTACCGGGCGTTTCGTTGTAGAGACTGAACTGTCCTTTGTTCGTTCTGCGTGGTCGATAGACGCGTAGACGATATTTTTATATAAAAAAAAATAAAAAATTTAGCTGGAAAAATATTGCGAATATTAACAAAAAAAAACAACCCGTGGTCATTTGTTTGTCTCGCTGTATGTATAACTAAGTTTCTGGCGTCTCGCTTCATCGTTTGCGTTTAAAGAGAATCTATTACTTGTGAATTATCCACCAAATGAAAATAACTGATGTAATCAGTAAAAGCAAATCTCATTAAACTGTGAAAGAAAAGAAAGGAAATGAGAAACCTTGTAGTTATAAATAAACAACGATGCTGCTAAAACTAGCAAGTTTTTCTTATGCCGCATTAGCCACACTTTTAGTGACCTCTTTCGCCAAGTGGGCAAAATACAATAAAATATAAAATTTTTATCTTCGATCGAGCGTACTTACATACATATGTAGATATCTAAAGCGATGTAAGCAGCTCATTCACTATACAAGCGTGATCGTATACACACATGTATAAAATTTAAATTGCGCATTTTGTTTTGTTTAGTACGCTTTTAAGCTTACGCTAGCTTCTCTTAACGGTTTTATACCTTCTCCAAAGGTGATAAACAAAAGCGCTTGTATATGCATGAGGTAAAGGAGAGAATGAAAAATAAATAAATTTGCAATAAGTTCTTTAGCACGGAAGAAAAAGAAGTGGAATTAAAGTACCAACGCTGGTGAATGGCCATAAAATAATTATTGACTTCGCAGCTAAGCGTGTGCAAGAAAGAATTAATAATTTTTATCTTAATGGTAATGAAAAGGAAATGCTAGCGACTTATACTTATCGGTTGTAACAATAAAGGCATAACACAGCAACGAGATAATGCAAATGAGTATCAGCAGATGTACAAGATGGTTACGTATACGCACCGACGAGGCTTCGTAAATAAATACGGTACATATGTACGCACCTACATACATATGTATGTACATATGTGCATCCATACACAAATGTACATCAACATGCATATATCTCTTTGAACAAAAACGTTAACAATTGCAAATGTAGTTGTACATACATACATATACGCGACCGCCTTTCGCAATCGTCTCGACTTGCACTTATTCACTGTCGTCGCCAATATTCTTCTTTGATGACAATATATGTACAGTGGCGGCAGAAATAATAGACTCGCCTTACTTTGAAGAGTTTTGGCTATTATTCCATGGTTTATTTATGTTTCTTTATAAAAGTCTGGTTAGCTTTACAACATACACCGTATATCCCCTTTTCAAACTTTATAGAAAAATTACAAAAATTCTACAAATTTTCACCCTTTTTATTCAGAATTTTTAGATTTCAAGTGCCTAGAAAAACCGTTGATTTGTGACAATTTTTTTTTTGCTGACGATGGTAGGCATTCTCTTACAATTGTCGAGCACACTTTGTATCAGAAAAAATGTGTGACACCGTCAGCAAAAAAAATTCTTAAAAATCAACGGTATTTTGTAGCCAATTGAAACTTGCACTTTATTGTACTAAAATTGAATGGGCTACAAAACTGCATATCAAAAAGTTCTGAATAAAAAATTTGGTGAAAATTTGTCGAATTTTTATAATTTTAGTTCAATGTTTGAAAACCGGATTTATATGATGTTTGTTAACTACCTAGGCTTTTATTAAAAAATATTAAACAAAAAAAAAAACTAAATAAATATGGCCAAAATTCCTAAAAGTATGACGAGTCTTTTATTTCTGCCGCCAGTGTATATAGTACATACATACATATGTATGTACATATGTATGTACAAACATTAGGGAGGGCAAATTTTTTTTTGACTACGCGCGTATAGCATAAATAGAAGGATTCTACGTGTAATTTTAAGCAAGCGGCGACAACGCACACATACATACATAAATAGTACATGTATATACGTACAAATCGCGTGCTGTGGTCTTGATAGAAATTCCACAGTTGAAAACAAATTTATATGTCTGGGTATAGCTGAGTGCGCAAAGGTGCTTGCCGCAATTTGTTGATATCCAGAGATGGTCAGGGTTCGAAATATTTTTTTTTTTAGTTTTTGTCTTGATGTCACGGATGCTTTTTGAGAACGAACGCGGTCATTTTAATATGCGCGTAAAAGAATTGATAATATGATAAGATCAATTACATTTCTATTTGATTTTAATATTTTTTTCCCTCAGTGTAGAACACTTGTGTGCGCATAGTCGAAAAAATCTCCCATACAGATTGACCCGCCCTAGCTTACATACTTACATATGTATATTCATACATATATACATACATAGATAGAAAAGTGGGTTAACATAGAACATGTTGACCTTATTAGCTCAGTCAGTTGACATTGTTACTTTACTGTAGTAAACACGTTAAACGTAAAATGTACTCGATAATATAACGGCATATCTCAATATTGCTGAGCAATTATTGTGACAAGAACGCAATGATGAACATAAAATGATGACATTATTGATCATTACTTGCAATTATTGCTGATCATGACTTACTCGGCGTACAAGTTGTTAGAAATTAAAATGTGAAGTGAGTCGAAGAATTAAAAAGTAATTTTGTAGACAATGTGGAGATTGTTCTATGATTGAAATGTGTACATAGAATCTAGCTTTAAAAAATAGTGGGAATTACTTTTTATAATTTATTTATAATAAGACTTCGAGTTGCATCTTGCTTCTGAGTAGAAAAATTCTTGTATTTTGAACTTGCAGCTAGCGAACAGCATCCGTAGGGGTTTCAGGTTAGCTGAGAAATGTTGGCTGCTGTTTTTTATAATTCATGAAGCATTTTATAGACTGATTTTTCTTGAAAAAGTGTCGGTGTTATGGAAAAATACTCAGCTATACTTTAAGAAAAATTAAAAAAGGTTATTAAGGCAAAAGCAGGAGAGGAAATGTTCTGCTCTTGCATTTGATCATGCTCAGATGAGTTGAGTTCTGATGGCGAATGTAAAAAATAAATTCAAATCGAAATTCATACCATTTCATTTTGTTAACTTTGCAAACTCTCCATGTGCATTCATACGGTCTTAATTAGTAGGTACATATGTATATGTACGTCTTAAGGAAGCAACAATCGTCGAGGTACATGGTCTTTGCCCAAATAGTTCTGCGATTATTAACTTTTATCGTCGTTTCAAAAATAAATAAAAAATAAATCCTACTCAAACTTGAAACAAAATATAATTTTCCCCCTTTTTTTATACCAAATATTAAACCGTCACCTGAATGATTTATGACTCCTTTGCAAATTAATCACCTCTGGGCACTCATAGGTGATGATGACTTTTTCTTTGACTTCGGCTTTAGCAATATTTTGCACGCGATCACCGTTAGCTTAACCTTATTTTAACAACTTGTAGCCTTTTTAACGCCGCGGCACTAATTTCAAAAAATAAAAAATAAATAAATAAATAAAGACAATAACAATGACAACGAGCATTCTGTAAGAAAAGATTGTGTGGCAATACTTCGCAATATATACTTAGTCATGTATATTTACTAACATGTGCCGAAAAAGTGACTCAAATGGCAAGCAGATTTAGCACGAGTCTATCAATAATATGTAGCACGTGTTACTGAACTATTTATGATTTTGGTCGGCATGAATGTTATTTTTTTTGTGGCGTATAAAAGTAATTAGCTGTGAATTAGTGTAATCAAGGTCACATAGAGTGAACCTTTTCACAAGTTGCTGTTAGATGGAAATGATAATAAATTTTTGTGAAAACTTTTTTTAAAAGGAATAGATAATGGTATGGCGCTGCATAAAATCTTGAAAGGTTTGTGCTGAACTTTGAAACATATAAACATTTTATTTTTTCTTAGATAAGTTATTATTTATTTTCGTTAGGTAAATGCAACTTTACCAGAGCTATCTATTTTTATTTTCGCAGCTAGTGATATCAAAAAGGGTCGGTAGTCGATTCGTGGGAAATTAGATTAAAAATGTATACTTTCGAATCAGGGGCCACAAATTATGATTATTTTTAAACGATTTCAAAAAAATTGAGAAGGTTATTAATTCGTCGGAATATTATTATTTTTTTACTTTTAGCTTTGGATGACCACGTTAACCGATTTCGATAATTCTTCATCGGTGGTACCATAAGGGTGGTCCCATACTAATTTTGTTTAGATCGGATAATTGGATCATAAAGAAATTAACGGTACACCTAAATTTTTTGTATGAGAATTGAAGTCGGTTTTGTTTTGTTTTGCTTAAAAATTACTTGTTTCAAATTTCAATTTAAAGAAATACTGCTGAAAATTCCACCGTTCTTTTAGCCGTCGTCGTTTAATTATAATGTACAAAATTACTTACCGGCAAATCTCAGGGCTTTGGAACTAAAACGTGACTTAAATTTGTATGTCCTTGAAGGTCTTAAGAGAACTTTGGCAGGACTTGGAATATACCCGCTACAATCAAGTTTGTCAATAAATTTCGATAATTTGATACATATCGATAATTCAAAGAATTTCAAAAACTCTAAACTCCCTTAACTGAACCTTGTTAAATATGATTTATTTTGGAACGAATTTCCGTCATCCCTTGTCAAGTTTGGTTTGCAGACAAACCGGTTTCGGCGTTGTGCCATCTTCAGTGTCATTTTTCGTTCTGTCTGGTTCGAGATTTGTCCCTAATTTATGTTCATTTATCTTAGGTAATGTGATTTTCGTCGATGATTAAGTCTATGCCATGGTGCCCATTTTTTGAAGCAGGTAATAGGTTCATCTTCGCTGTTTCGATATTAACATGCATTATGTTGTCGCTGTATGGTTTTTGCCTGCAGGTAGGTAAAAGTCAGTGATTTTTGCCCTGGTGGTGCTTTTTGGTGTGTTCGGAGTGTCCATGCCTGTTGTTTTGTTGTCAAATATCTCGACTAATTTCGATAACTGTGCGTTTCTAGGGCACGATAAATTTGAAAAACCGTAAAATGTATATATCTCGATATAAATCGATAACTCGATAGACTTCGGATACTTCTATAAATTTCAATAACTCGGTTAATTTTGATAGCTACATATTTTTCCAAAGCTATCGACCGATTTCTCGTGTAGCACGATAAAATGCGATAAGCAGTAATAACTCTATAAATTTATCTAGCTTTGAAATTTTGATAACTCAATATATTTTGAAAATTTCCAAATCTTCGATTCGACAAATCGACAATTTCCAGTAAATTAATAAATATCAATAAATCCATAAGTTCAAAGTACTCGATACATTACGATAACTCGATAAATTTTGTTAATTCTATAAATATTGATATAGCAATAAATATCGATAGCTTGATCAATTTCATGATCTTGATAAATTTCGATAATCCCATAAATTTTTATAGCTGGATAACTATCCTATGCGTACTTATGCACCAAAAAATTTAAACTGTTGTTCTACATTGCACTGACTTTTTTTTTTAATAATTTTTTCAACTAATCATATTTTTTAAATTTCAAAGCCCCATTAAGAAAACTCCTAACGTCGTCAGGGAGAAAAACTAAAAACGTAGTTTTACTGTTTTTGGTCCCTAGTTTTGCGAATATTTTAATTTGTGCGCAATATTGATTGGCGCACGGTTTTTTTTTTTTAATAAAAGCTGTAACCGTTTCCGTTCCTGATTCAAATGCATGTCGTTTAAAGAAAAAAATTAACTGGAGCAATTACTTATGTAAATATTTTATTTTCGTATATGGTTTGTATGTTGAGTTTTTTTTAATCATAAATATTAGCACAAAGTCTTTCTCGACTCTGGTTTCTCATGTTCGTAAAATTAAACGATTTACGAACTTTAAATCTTTTTAAATAATGTTTGCTTACCACAACCGCAAATTTACAAATTAACTAATAAATATGCATTAATTTAAAACGCAAATTGACAAAAAAATAGAAATTGTATCAAAAGCAAAATCAAAAATCGCGAAAATAAATACATAAATATAAATGGAGTGAAATACGAGTATGTGCACAGGAATGCATCAAAGAAATCGCTTAGTCGACCACTTGTGGCTTTATGTACATATGTATGTATGTACATTTGATTTCATTGTTGCATTGTTTGCTTGCAATTAATGCTTCCGTTATGTGGCCAACTTGCAATTTGTTGCACAGCTGGTTTGACGCCGTCAGACGCCAGCTGCCTATATACATAGTCGCTGGCAACAGACCAACTGACCAGGCTGGTAGTAGTAGTAGAACAAGTTCAGTGCCGCAATTGTGCGTCGGCCACTAACGGACAATGCCAGAGGAGTTAGTAGTTTGAATGGAGCGTTACAATCTCTTTGATGCAAGTATTTTATACGCTTAACTATTTATTGAGAAGCCATAGAGTCGTAGTTAAAATACAATACATTCGGAAGAGCGGTTAAGGTGCTAAAACGGTTGGTACATCAGGAAAACACATTAAAATGTCACAAGTTGCATGCAACAGCTTGCCAGCTGTTTTTAGTAAAAAGCGAATAGTATTTGCTGTTAATATTTTTTGTTATGCTTTCAGCTTATGGAGATTACAATAAATGCCAAATTCCGGTTAAGCTATGAAAGAAAAGTGAGGAAACTAAAAAAAATGCATAAACTATGCATTAAAAATTATTTAGGAGAAAAGTGTAAGTGTAAGAGGAAAAAATTGAACGAAGTTGACATTAATGCTTAAATAAAATTCGATGCCAAACTAAAGCAGATAAAAGTCGATGCCATTCGTTCCTATTTATTAATTTCCGACATTTGAGTGCTAGCAACATCCTCAACTTGATTGTGCAGAAATAAACTAAATATCGAAGACGAAGATGACTAAAAAATACAAGCAGTTCAAAACAAAATGCATTGTCTTCTCATCTTCAGTGTAAAGCGATATTAAATATAGGTTTATATTTTATCCGCGTAGATATTTGAAACCTTGATAAATTTTATAAAACTTTTTAGATACAATTTTGAACCAACAAGAGTTATTTTCGGTCCCTAAAAATATGCTTACTAAGATGTACGAAATTTTTTCGTTTTGTTAGATGAATCTGCAGATTTTGATCTTCTTCTATATTTGAGGCCTCCGGAGTATACATACATACACACATTAATATAGAAAGGCCCTTACTCATTTTCTCTGGAAATTCAGCGCTGCAAAAAAAGTCGGTAGATTACTTACTAAAAGCCTAATAGAACAAAAAATATCTATCACATTAGTTTCAGTGTTTATTAAAACTCAGGATTTCGAAAAAATTCCAAAATTAAGAACTTTAGTTTTTATACTACTCTGTAAAGACATAAACAATTCAAATGGGGTCTTTCTATATTAAGGTAAAAATATGAATATAAATACGAATATCTTTTTAAATAGAATAGGGTATTCTCTGACTCTTGCAAAGCCCTTGCACGGTGCACGGATTGCACGGTTTGCAAAGGTGTCCCATACGAAAACCGGTTTTTACCCTGCAATCTGTGCACCATGCAAGGGCTTTGCAAGACTCACAGAATACCCCTAATTAATTTAGAGTCTGGGAAAAAACAGGTATTTTCGTTTTCGAGAATGAGAAGAAGCAAATTATTTATGAAATACTCAAAACAACGAATTGATGGGTCATCCGCCGTAGAGTTCTGATTTGGCTCCTAATGAGTTTGTTTTTATTCCCGCATATCAAGGATTGAGTTCGCTAGATGAGGCGATTAACGCGTTTCAAAACAATGTTTTTAAGCACGGAACCGCCTTCATTGCAGGAAAAATGCTGCACCAATTGGTTTAAGTGTATTCAAAGATGTACATATAAATCATACTGAAGAATATCTTGAAAACCAATGAAACCATTTTTACTGACAAAATATTATTTTCTTAAGTATTCTAAGAACATTTTTAGTGACCATCTATAATGTATGTATATGTAAATCCTTCTCACGCCATTTTCTTTTCAAAACAACCTTTTGTATTACCGTCATAGCCGTTGATGCCCATTTTTTGTCTACGGGCCACTGTTTTTGTGCCATATATATATATATATGTACACACGTATGTATGTATGAAATAATTGGTCCACTTCGTATATATGTACAAAAACATATTGTATAATACCTTTCGATTTACTATAATAGCATACATAAAATACTTTCCACTAATTTGTTGTAAATTTATCCCCATTATTTACATATTGTCGATCACTTCAGGATATTTAATAATAAATTGTTTCATTCATTTTACTCGCAACACACTTAAAAGCTCACTGAACAAGTCAATCACCAATGAGCTGACCAACAACACGCAATGTACATTTACGCTACGATAGGAAATGCTAGTAAATGGTAATAAAAATTGACGTTATTCATGTAAAACTTTACAGACATAAAAAATGTGTGTGTGTGTGTGTGTGTGTGCGCGCGCGCGTAATTAATTAACGAATGGGTTTTCAACGACAAAACAGTAGAGAAGCTGAAAATCAAATAACTAACTGTTTTTATCGCGTTGATTAATGGTCTGTTAACAGCTAATTAAACTGGTTAAACATCGGAGAAGCAAAAAATTTCAGCAAATTTCCTTTGGAAAAGGATCATTGAATGCAGAAAGACCTACCACCACCCTGAAATGAGTAACCGGTATGTAAGTGTTGGCTATTTCAGATTGGCAAACACGAAAAATGCGCGAGTCCAAAATTTAATGTTAATGGATAAAAAAATTTGGCACCTAAATGAAAAAAAGGAAATTGGCGAAGGCGAATAAAGCCGGCATGCAATGCTGTTTGTACGATATTTCTGCCAAGCACGTGCGAGTTTGTGTGTGTTCAGTGTACATATTAAAAGTTCAAATCCGCGGATGCAGAAAAATGATCGCAACTGGTAAAATACTCAAACAGTGAAATACAAGTTGATGCGACTTAGTGAGTATGGGCGATTAATGCCTCTCACTTGGTTAACTGCTTCGAGTTTAACAAAGTTTTTAATTGCTAAACTGAATGATGCTGCCGACTCGTATCTGTTTATCCGTGAACGTGTTGATTGGCGGAAAAATAAAATCCGTTAAAGAAATCTGTCCCGATTTTTTTTTCTTAAATACCCATGCACCTACATAAATACTTAAGCTTGTATAAGCTTATTTGAAGTGCAGCAAAAAGTGACCGCCTCCGGGCGGAGCACACAAAGTGACCATCAGTGAGTCGTGGCGCGAAATGCCACTCTCGAGTGCTAAAATGCGCACATTCACCTGCGGCAAATAATATATGTAAATGAAATAAATAGCAAATAAATAAGATAGAAATTGAAATAAATCAACATGGAATGGAAACCGAAAAAGATACAGTAAATTTGCGAATCGGACGTACATACATACATATGAACGTACGCAAAAATATGTATACATGTATGTATTACACACATGAAAAAGCCAAGCTGTTGGACAACCAGTTGGCCAAATGCGAACGATAGACAGACAAAGCCATTGACATTGGCTAGCTTTTCAAATGTAAGTATGTATATACATTCGAGTGTTCCATAAAAAATCAAATGAAGGATTTTTTCAGTCTCACCCCTTCAATTGGTTG